TGGGTGATTGCTAGGTATGATAACCAAGTAGAGCTTCAATGTGAAGAAGTAACAGACCTTCTTTTTCCTTGGGCTGTGGACATATATGGAAGGACCTTTGCCTCCATGTGCTGATCTTAACTATCACAGAAATTTCTGGTTGGCTGCTATATAGAAGATGCTGTACTTGCCATTATTATTAGAGAAACATATCATATGTGAAAGATGTGTGCAGATGCATCTTTTTGAAATACAACTGCTGCAGATTTTCTGTTTTCATGTGAAGAGACAGACAGACAGACAGACAGACAGACAGACAGACAGACAGACAGACAGACAGACAGAGCAATTTATTACTTTAATTTTGTTACTTTAATTTAGTGCCAGAGCACTATTCTGGACAGTTTACAGAGAGTTAAAAACAAACTACACAGAACTAAATACAACATAAGTAGCAAAAACTTGAACAATGGTGAAACCAATTTTCTGAGTAAGGCCAGACTGGAGGTGAGGCATTCAACTGGAGTCAACATGAAAGGCCCCCCTGAATAGTAGTGCTTTTAACTGCCTCCTAAATGAGTACGGGGGGGGGCAAGTGTATCTCTTTTGGGAGTTGTTTCCATAGCGTAGGTGCCACTCCTGAGGTGGCCCTACCTCTAGTAGGAACAGAATCTCAGTCTTGTCCAGATTCAGTTTGAGCCTGTTTGCCCTGGTCTATTCAGTACCGAAGTCAGGCATCACTCAAGCATCTGGACAGCCTCCACTGCAGAGGTGATAAAGGGGAGATAGAATTGTGTATCATCAGCATACTGATGACACCTTACTCCAAATCTCCTGATGACCTCCCCCCAGCAGTTTAACACAATATTAAACAGCATTGGGGATATTGACAACCCCAGGGGCACCCCACAATTAAGGATCCAGGGGGCTGACAACTTGTCCCCAAGCTGACCCCTCTGGACATGGTCCACTAGAGTCAGATTAATGGTAGGCCCCTGATCCCAATCTACAAGAGCCCGTCCAGAAGAATACCATGGTCAACAGTATCAAAAGCCACTGAGAGATCAAGGAGAAACAGAAGGGTACAATGTTGGCCTCCCTTAAAAGATCACTGTGCAGTGCAACCAGGGTCGTCTCAGTACTCCTTTGCGATCTGAATCCAGCCTGGCATGGGTCGAGGCAATCCTACTCTTGCAGATATGTCTAAAGCCGGTTAGCCACCACATATTTGATCACCTTGGCACAAAAGGTATGTTGACGATTGGACAAAAGTTAAGATAATCCATCATCAACTGTGGGTGTTTGATGATGTGTTAGATCAGGAGTCCCCAAAGCTTTTTCACTGAGGGCCACACCAGATATTTTTGAAGTTTCTGAGGGCCAAAGGAACAGAAATGTGTGCGCGCGCACGTATGCGCAGCCGCATGCATGCACACACACACCCTGCCGCCCATATGCCCCCCCCACACACACACCGCACGCACACACAGAGAGAAAATGGCCACTCACATGCACTCCTACCTGCCCCTCGCCGTGTTTGCGCAATCACAACCTGCAAGGAACGGACCATACAACACGACAACACGGGCCAGATGTGGCAAGACCCCTGGGTTAGATGATAGTTTCATTTACACAGGAGGGAATAATTCACTCCCTCAGTAAAGAGTTGATAGTGTTCGCAACCCAAACCACCATAACCCCATTGACAGTTTTTATTAGCCAGACTGGGTAAGGATTAAGCACAGAAGTGATAAGTCTGCAGCCAACCAGCACCCTGGGCACTTCCTCCAGTGTTACAGCTGGAGGAATCAACTGAACCAAATGGCAGACGGAGAAGGTGCAGCAGTGGTTATCTCCTGGTCAGCTAAGCTGTTGTAGGAGTCAAGATCAGCACAGATGGCTGCAATTTTTGATCTAAAAAGGGCTACAAATTGATCATTAGCAAAGTCAAAGTGAGGCCATGACTGACCAGAGAAGGTCAGATCGCAAACCACCCAGAAGAGTTCCACTTGTCAGTTTGAGGCCTCACCAATAATCCATATGCCAAAGTACTTTTTTGCTGCTTTTAAGGTGTTGCCATACCTCCTGGTCATGTTCTTAACAGCAGCCAAATTTTGTGCCATCTGGTTCCCTTCTCCACCTCCTTCTCTAGCCATCTCCTTGTTTAAATTTTGTGCCATCTGGTTCCCTTTTCCACCTCCTTCTCTAGCCATCTCCTTGTTGACTTCATAGCTCACAGGTTATGAAGCAGAGAGAGCAACCCAGGTTGTCTTTGAATGCCATCATTGGTGTTAACCACCCAGGTTGTCTTTGAATGCCATCATTGGTCAACCTACGCTTCAACAGGATCACCCAGCACGTCAGCCAGATACCCCCCCAAGGACTCCTGAAACTGTTCCAGATTAAGAAGCCTGCAAGGGAGGACCAATTACACAGTTCCATTCTCTCTGTGGAGGGGGGGCTCACAGTGGACAGGTTAAATCTCAGCAGGAAGTGATTTTTTCATGACAGTGGGCGCAAAATCAGATTCCATGCCCTCAGGTCACTTTCAATCTGTGCCATTGAGAACACCAGGTCCAGAGTGTGGCCTGTTTTATGTGTGGGGCTGATGACATGCTGGGATAGGTTCATGGCTGTCATGGAATCCATGAACTCCAGGGCTGGTCCCTCATCAGCACCCAGGTCTCCATTACACAAGCCTGATCCACACTCTCCTCATAAATAAGGTAATGAATAAGATGGTTTGTATTATTAACAGATCTGGCATTAATCAGCAGGAGGGTCAGATGAGAGGGTCAGCTGACCTGGTAACCACATTCCTGTCTGGGAACCAGGACATCAGAACATGTGACAGGCAACAATTCACTGCCATACATTCTCCTGAAATGGAAGGCCTGCCTGCCCACAGCATACCTTCCCTGACCCAAGACAATATGGATAGAATAGTTATCCATTAGAGGCACACAACATCCTCCGCACCAGATCCTGTTTGTACATAGGACAACAAAAACAAAATAAAATAACAAATCCAAAATAAAGTTCTATACCAAGAAAAGGTCCCCAGCTAAATAAAATTTTTAAAGAAAATATAAATAAGTCTAAGACCCTATCTAATTAATGAGAACAACTCAACTAGAGGATCAAAAATAACATAATCTCCCCACGAATCACAAACAGGCATGCCAAAACCCCTCAGCACAGAAGATGGTGGACGGTCTGTGCCTAAGGCTGGCTTTGCAGACAGCTGTTCCATTTCAGTGTCCTTTTTCCCAACCTGACAGCTCAAAGGCTGGTACCCTTTGTTTAACAGCACTTCAACATTGTGCTACTGAGCATTTGCCATCTGCCCATCCTCCTTTATGAAGATCTTGCCCAAAGTGGCTTTCACCCTTTGGCCTTTGAATGGAGACTGCTTCTAGTCAATTATAGCCTCTAACTTTGTTTGATACTTTTTTTCCCTTTTGGGGAGTTATATATTTTCACTTACTCATATATTTATTTCCACTGTTAATATTATTCATTTCCATTTGACTTTGTTTTGAATTCCATATTGTAAGGTAATTGTTCTGATTGGCCTCTCTCTTCCATATGTTCTGATTTCATTGAGTTCTTTTTCATTAAACAACTTTTTACTGTGTCAAACTATGAAAGACTTGAGGCCCAATTTTTGCCTCCATCACCTGCTATAGGCCACAACAAGCCTTGAAATGATCAATGACAGCAAAAATGTAAACAATTAAGAAAAAAATCACAGGTGCTCATGTGTCCACTTTTGGTATTGGTGCGGTGGGGGGAGGGATTAACTTAGCTTCTCCCGTATCCTCAAAGCAAAACCCACCATCCCTGAAAACCTCCAGGAACATAAAACCATTTTTTTCATCTAACCATTTTATAATTTTGGTCCAGAGGGCCTCCTGAAATTCCCTCAGGTACCACTTGTGGTCTACAGCAGTGGTGCCCAACCGTGGGCCTCCAGATGTTTTTGGACTACAATTCCCAGAAGTCTTTACCACCACCTCTGCTGGCCAGGATTTCTGGGAGTTGAAGTCCAAGAACATCTGGAGGTCCAAGGTTGGGGACCACAGGTCTACAGGATGTACTTTCCTCCCCTCAATATAAATGTTGTTTTCCTGTACGGATGCCTGTAACAGAGATTGTACTAGTAGTGTATTGGCCAGTGAAAACGGTAAGAATTTTTGGTCACATCTGCAGCATCCATGTATTGTTTACGTGACCTGCATGCAAAAACTCTCGACATGTGATCCATATATCCTTTGGCAGGGTATAAATCAAGTGATCAGAATCCATGTTTTTGTGAAGGTTACATATCAGTACATGGCATGACCTGAAGATGTGTTCTGAATCTCTGCACCTCTGCCTCCCCCCTCACACTCATACCCTTCTACAGTTTGATAAACTACTTGATCCTTGTAGCAAAGCCAAATATAGGACCTTGAAATAAAGTTTAAGGACTGCACAGAAACAACCCAGATTTTATCTTTGTATTCACGGTGTACTATTTCATCCCACAATTTAGGGATTTTGTGGATATTTTGAGCCATCGCTAATGCAGACACATTGAATTGGATCCAGACTTAATCACATTTAGAGCAGTCCCAAATTAATGGAAGTTTGTCATGATTATCTGTAATCCTACTGATGGACATCAGAGTATGGCTACGGCTAGTTCTCACTTAATGCATCTAGTATTGTGAGAGTCAAAAAGCTAAACTTAGTCTGCAAAGTTGCTCCACTAAAGAAAATACCAAACAACTGTGGTTAAGAGACTGGGAAATAGTACATCTTTATTTAGAGAGTCTCTGACAGGCACATATACTGTATGTAAAATTCTTCTTTTAACTTTCACTCTTTTTTTGCTCTGAAGTGAGAAAACTGTGTATAACAATGAGCTGTTGCCTGGTTGACAAGCCTAATGCTGTTAGATAGGGAGTACTTCTTTCATTCGTCTTCTTTTTCCATCTAAACTAAAATTTGTTTTGATTTCTTCTCCTGTTCCACAGCACCATCTCCAATCACAAATGTGAAAAAAGGGAAGGTTGCCAAAAATAGCATCTCACTGTCTTGGCAGGAGCCAGATCGACCCAATGGCATCATCTTGGAGTATGAAATCAAATATTTTGAAAAGGTGCGACTGTCCAATTGCAAGGCCATCAAGCTGTCTTTGATTTTTGCCCTGCCTCTCTTCTGTTAAAATTATAATATCTGTTCAGAAGGAATGGGATACTTTTTGTGTGTAACTCAATGTCAAATTGATTATACTGTAACTGATTAGGAAATATTGATGTTTACCCTCACACACATCAGTTTTCATCTGTGTATCACTTTTTTTGGACAGATATATTAAGGCTTCCTGCCAGTTCCATCTCCAGGCATATCACAGTATAATTCAGGAAACTTATAGTGCAATCCTTTGTATATCTACTCAGAAGTAAGTTGCATACTTACTTCAAAGTACATTTGTATGGGATTGCAGCCCAGTCAACTAAGGTGCATGGCACAAAATACAAGTGATTTTTTTTTTGGCAGATATTAATTTAGTTGTCAGTACTGGATAAAATAAACCCACTAAATCTATGGGGCTTTATATAGGAGATGGTTTATATAAAAAAATTGATAAAGTGGTTCCACTCTAACTGGGACTATTATTAATTAGACTTAGGCCTTTATTCATGCCACACTCCTATAAGAGAGGTCAGTATTGCAAAGTACAAGTAGATGAGGCTAAAAGTGGGTTATTTAGGGCTCTCTGCTCAGCTCAAGTCAGAGGACATATTCAAATTGTAAATTTCCTGCCTTATCTCTCAGTCTCTTAAGAGCCCTATGCTGCTCCAGATTTATGCTGATGTTTTTGTGTAATGACATTTTCTGTAGTGTTTACTGAAGAATTGTTTTTATAGAGATTTCATTTCAAAATATCAAGAAAACAATCTAGTACAATGGGTTTGCCGCTTTTGCCAACTTTAGCATCGACTGTTCTTGATTCCCGTAACTGTAGAAATTATAGTTGAATTGTAAGTGAATTGGATTTGGCACATCTTTCTTGGATTGTGGCCTGCCAATACTTCAAAAAGAAGGCTGGAATAGTATGAAATAATACAACGTATTTCTAAGTGCTAGTCCCAACTAGATTAACCCTTTTAATCAATTGCTTAGTGGTGGGTCAACACTTAAATAAATCCTACTGACATATCTAGTCAATGCATCTGCTTTCATTGTAACCTATTTGGTGTAGCACTAATTGAGTAGGGGAAAATCCAGCTTTGTCATCTCAATAGCTGTTCTTCAAAACAAAGGTCCAAATATTCATTTGCATGTTTGGACATTCTACTTGAATAGCCCAGTAATGTGATCATTGTTGATTTTCCCCAGAGGGTGTGCTCTATCTCCCTCTCCAATAGCACAGTTTGCCATTATTTTTGGCTTATATCTCTTATAACACTTATGTCCACAAATATATTTTTCACCAAGATGAATCATGATGTGATCATACTGAGATTCCTTTCTGTTGTGTGTTATAGGTGTACATGTTCTTGGTTATACTGTACATAGGAAGAGGGGAGGAAAGTTTCATGACACCTAAATAATTTAAACAGGTTTTATTCGGCATAAACTTTCACGGGACGTGGTGGCGCTGCGGGCTAATGTTATAGGTGTACATGTTCTTGGTTATACTGTACATAGGAAGAGGGGAGGAAAGTTTCATAACAACTATATAATTTAAACAGGTTTTATTTGGCATAAACTTTCATAGACTGCAACGTTCTTCATCAGATCAGTGGACTGTAGTGCATGGATGCAAATGCCAGATAAAACCTGTACGTTTTTAAGATGCCACTCAAATCTTTGCTATTTTTGCTGCAATTGATTAACACAGCTACACACCCTCCCTTAGAATTATGTGCATTAGTCACCCAGAAGGGAACAAAAACACATGAACTGAAGGTAGTCACAAAATGTCTTCAATTCTAAAATATAACACTTCCAAAATTAATATTAGACATTCAGGTTAAGCCAGAATACAGCTTCAGCAGCTTCAGAATGGATCATAGGACAGAGCAAACTCATTAAATGGTAACAGTACAGGAGAAATCTCCTGCCTTATACTGATCTTGGTGTGGTGAAACTCCAGAACACTGGTAGGATACAAATGACCACTTTAACATCATGATATGGGTAGAAGCACTTGGTGACCTTGCAGTCTAAAAGATTGAAATCCAGTAGTAATTCTTCACTAGAGTAGGCCCCTTGAATCAATAGAATTTAGGAGTTAACTCATCAGATCCCCACTGCTGCATTGCACTTTAATGGTGGATTTCAGCCAGTGATAGGTAACAATTACAGCTCTCAGAATTTCATAGCTACCAAAGCAGCAGCTCCCACCACTGCTGGCTGTGGGATTTTATGTGCTGTCGTCCATAACCAAAAATGTCCCCTCCGTGCTCTCTCCCTCTCCTATTTTCCTAGATTCCCTACACAAGCAGCCATGCTGGAGTGGAATCTGCTTCTCTACAGTCTGATCACACACAGCTGTGAGCTGCAGTTCATTAAACAGCTACATTGGCAAGCTGATCATACTCATGATATAGGGAAGTGTTAATTGGATAGGAAAAACAACTAGCGTAATCCATGTGGTGCCATCATTCACATACAGCCATGCAGGTTGACACTATGAAGAAGTGCATGCATGCTGTTTGTGAAGGATGCTCCACTCAAATCCAGATGTGTTGTAAGATTCTCAGCACTTGGCAGCTACCAAACCTCATAGTTCTGCACTCACAGTAATGTTTTCCCATGTAGCAAGTGGTCACTCACTGTCTAACCCCATCAAATATCCAGAAAAGTTAAAATGAAGCTAGATATAAGTAAGTTTTACTTTAGTGTGAATATTTTCTTCTGTCCATGAGAATGGATTACATAAGGCCTTAAGCGGTAATGTCTGTAATCTATTGGGGAAAAATGGATATACTGTATAACATTCATTAGATGTAGCTGCCTGCATTCTTGCATAACAAATAGAAGATATCAGTACATTCATGCTGAAAATCCCATAGGGCCATTAAAAGGAAAGAAAGCTTTGTTTTTATAAAGGATTGGTATGGGTGTTTTTTCTAATTTCTTTGCAAGTACACTCTAGCAGAATATCTTAAAGTTCTACGCTAGGAGAAAATTATTTAGCAGCTAGCTACTCATAGAAACTTGTAAAAGGTAAACACATAGCTGGATCATATGGAAAGAAAGAAGTGTCATTTATGTTTAGATAGGGATGGTTGATATTAGCGACATTAGACGTTAGAAATCCAGGAACTTCATCCATCAGCCTTGCAGATCCCTAGTTCTCTCAGGCCCCAAAGCAAATGAAGAAGTTGTTCTCTGAAAGTTGCAGCTTTCCAATAATCTGATCTGATTAGAATGCTGCTCAGGCATTATAACCTAAACATGAGTAGGGCCCTAACCTTGATGGGGATGGGGGAATGAACATGAGTTAGATGTCAATCAGACCTTCTCATGTTTGGTGCATAGGTCTGAAGAGCTGCTTGCAAATATATTCAGCTCAAAATATTTACAGGACTTCTCTAATTTGAAGCCATGATAAGGCAGAGCTGTGAGTTCAACTGAACACGTTGACTGGTGCCTTGTTAAATTTTTATGCTTAACATTTGAGGTCAGATTGACATTCAGGTGGTGGAAACTGGGAGGCAGAACATACCTGCAGGCCTGATCCCCACCATGTCTTGTTCAGACTGTAGTGCCTGAACAGGACATAAGAGATTGACATAGAGTGGCTTGAAAAATAATGCCTGGTAAGTTTGTATGTGTTATTTATATGTTTTATTTCTTTGTATATATATGTGTGTGTGTGTGTTGTATGTGCATGTACTAAAAAGGATCAGGAGACCAGCTATACCATCATCAAATCTAAGGAGACCAAAATTACTGCCGATGGCTTGAAACCTGCTTCAGTATATGTCTTCCAGATCCGAGCACGGACCGCAGCAGGGTACGGTGGCTTCAGCCGAAGATTTGAGTTTGAAACCAGCCCAGTGTGTAAGTCATTGTAATTACTGTCTGTATGTGTCTCTGTAGTGGTTATATGAAAAGAGCCAGCAGATTAATATCTGCAAGCACTTGTCAGCTTTCATCTCACCTTCCTTTCTTGGTCTCGTCTCAGCCCTTCCTGGTCTGATACATTCAGGAGAATCAACCATTAGTATAGTTAAACCATATTGTCCCAATTCTTTTGTATCCAGGTCATCAAACATGGTGCATCTTTAAAGTCTGAGGGCTAAAGTACGTATTCTCCCCCGAGCACTACACTGCTGTGGTTCTCCCCCCTCCTTTCTTTTTATCATTCAGTATCTTTTTGTTTTAAAAAAGGGTTGTGCAATCTTACTGAGTAGAATTCACACTGAGGAAAGTGCACCACATAGTAGGTATGTAAATTCTCCTCTGTCACCACAAAGAGTGGGGCCTTCTGTAACACAAAGGAGAACAAAAACACTTATTTTGTGCAGAGTAAAGATAATGGCACAAATAACACTTACTGGGTGAAAACCAAGAGCCCCAACTTTATCCTGCTGTCCTATCTACTTTCTCACTGCCACATTATTTTATTCATGCTAATCTCTCTCTCTCTCTCTCTCTCTCTCTCTGGAGCTCCTCCATCTTTTCTCAGGACTAAGAACCCATTAGTCCTGTCCACACCCCATGCTCTGTCACTCTTCTGTCCCTTCCAAATGCCTCTCCCCCTGAATTTCTTCCCCATGCCAGTACTTAACATAATATGCAAAGGACATAAATCTTTGGATTACAACTTCAGAACCCCCAGCCAATGGGGAATGCAGTCATATTTGAGTAAAATATCTTGATTCTAGCTCTTGTTTTGGAAAGATTAACATTCCAGAAATCCTCTAACTATCTGTTTTGGGCTACAACTAGCTAACATTGCCAGCTAACATTGCCAATCTTGATGAGCTGAGTTATTTAAGCAGTATCCATGCAAAATGTTGTGTAGTTCACTAGCTCTTACTGTTTCTTTAAGAGAAATCGAACTCCTAGCCTTCCCTAGCCAATTGAAATATAACCTATCCAACAACTGGTTTGGAATCCTTGCAAAAGTTTGTGTTTCTACCATTCCCCCCCTCATGTTGGAGAAATCGCTATTTTCTTTAGATGACTAGAACTCCTAGAATCTCTCTACCAGTGTGTGTGCTCAAGATATACCTCACCTGCCTATTAAAGTTGTGAAGGCAGTACTGTCTACAAAATTTCATGTTTATAGCTCTTACAGTTCTGAAGGTCTTTGGGGCAAATATAATTTTCCACTAAACAAACACACAGAGGTCAAAATCCTCTTGCTTAGCAGAATAAACCATACTTAAGTAGACACATAGCATCAATGGGGATTTGGTGAGTCAACTATTCTACATGTTCTATTGATTCAAATGGCCCTGCTCTAATGGTAACTCCTTTTATTGTAGTAAGTTGCAGTTACAATAGACCTATTGGAATCAATGGGATTTATGGACCAGTTGATTCATCAAATCCCCACATTCAATAGCCCTACTCTAGAGCAATTTATTACACTATGCAACAGGAGTTTGTCCACTCCTTCAGTTTGATTTATAAAATTATACCAGTGTAATTGATATGATTTCCCATGAAGATTCTGAGGAATTATAAGTATTTTGTTTAGAATTTCCACCCCTGCCTTCCCAAACTATTGTTTCCTAGGACAGAAAGAATTTTAACCAACTTAGATAAGTAATATAGGTATCTCCTAAATCCATATATCAGATTCCTTTGCAAACAAGTTATTCAAGCTATTTAGAAAGAGCAGCACCTTGCAGACTGCAGTTAATGACTTTGAAATGTTTCTTCCACCTTGAGAAAGGGACTTTAAATTAAATATTTTGTTCTTCAGTTAGATTAAAGAGGAAAGCTACTTTGTTACTGTTGACATATCTATTAACTATCCCTGACAAGGTGTGAAATATGGGGAAGCCTTTCACCAAAGACTAATGAGTTGGTTTGGTTTGGTGAAATAATTCTTCTTTTTTAAAGACACCTCCCATCCTAGAGGTTTTCAAAACCACAGAATTTATCATGCTGTGTAGTTTTTTCCCCCAAGGAAATAAACTTTTCCTGTTTTCTGTTGCTTTCTTGCGTGTGTGTGTGTGTGTGTGTGTGTGTGTGTAAAAGCTGTATTCTCCAAATGCCAGATTCATTACATGAAAAAAAATCTGTTCTCAAAATTATCTTGTGTTAAACCCTCATGGTGCATATGAAGTTTTATGAGATAATTATAACTCAATATAGAACAAGTGGTTATGGGGTTATGGTGCAAGCGTAGCAGATGGTATCTACTATGAAATGTGTTGTGCAAAGGGTGCTACCTATAATCAGATAGGTTTTAAGGGCTCTGGGCCTCAATATTCAAATGGATTTGAATATGGCCAAGTCCAAATAGCTGTAAAAATTCATTCTGTAAGATCTCAAAGCCTTACTCACATTTGACAGAACTCCCCTGCTCCCTACTCTGGGTACCTACACTGGGAACTGAGAGAGCAGTTACATTATTTTTAAAAACAACAAGTCTTAAATCAGCTTTAGGATGTTTTAAACCAAATTTTTAAAGGGTGACTACACAGCGCATGTGGGAGTGAGGATTGTTTTGTTAGGGAATGGTTTTTTTTGTTTTTAATGAAAGTAAGGTACTTTACTCTTCTGCTAGAAGGCTGTTTAACTTAATGCGAATCTCAAATTGATGTAGTTTAAATCAACTTGCTGTATGTAAACACCTACGTTGGTGAAAAATTCTCCTGAAGAGGGATGGGGATGGGGTAATCAATCCAGAAGTGATAGTGGGGCAACCTGGATTTGGCGTGGATGGTAGAAAAGAAGAAAGGGAGGCCACTAGCTTCACTACTCTTGCCCTGTCATCCACTGGAGCTGATCTGAGAAAGTGGCCGGCTCCCTCACAGAGGTGTCCAGCTTCTGCTACTACCCCTATCTGAGATGGGGAAACAATCTGGTGGGATTGTGGGGGGGGGTGCTGTGAGGTGAGTGCTTCCCAATTTGTCTTTGGTAGAGCCAGCCTTGCACATGGCACAGGGAACCAGGCTGAGTCTGACCTGGAAAGGACAGGGTGAAGGGTATCCAGGTGGGTTGTGACCAGAACATGGGAATGCCACATGCTGTTTTGGGTGACCTCCTGCTTTGACTACAAGTCACCCTGATCAGTACTATGCGCATTCTCCATCCTAGATTCAAGTTATACGGATGAAGAGTGAAACTATATATAATCATATAAAGCTGGATAAAATATATTGGTTTCTAGATACTATAAAGAGAAAAGAAAATGCATAAGAAGCTGCAGTTTTCATTGGTTGCCCTGTTGTTTTAATCACATACGTCTCTGCTGTGCAATTTGTTGTTTAAATTTTAAAAAATCAAGGTCTGTGCTTTAACTGTGCTGCTTTTTACATATAGAACAGAAGACTTTCTTTTTTTAAAAAAACCACCCTTGCATATTCTTATTTTAATCTAAAATTCTTGAAAAAGTAAACGGTTTGATGACTTATCTGTGAAGATAATGGGGGAAAGCCCCCACTCCTTTAATATACTCCTGTGGTTAAATTTCACTTGCCACTGGTATTTATGTACATACTGCATACCTATTTCAATTTGTTCAAATGACATGTTTATTACATTTTCATACTATTTCTATTCAGGAATGATTTCATAATGGAATAAATTCCATTCATTTCCCTGTTGAATAGAAACTCATTCTCCATGTTTATCTTTTGAATTTAGATTGATCCGTAGTTGATTATTTTTTGCCTTTACCTCTCATAATCTAGTCTCTCTCTTTAAAAAATTGTTGGCTTTTCTATTTTAAATACATGTTGCCTTTTAAAATTGAAATGGATTTTAAATGGATAGCCGACACAGATATGGAGTCAGTGAACATGCAGAAAGGATTTAGTGATGCAAACATCAGTGTAATAAAAACCATCTATTTAATGTATTTCATATTGCATTAACCATTAATCAAGTTCTATAAGTAGAAACAAAACCTTATTATGCTGCCAAATAAATCTCTATTATAAATTTTGGATGCGGTAGGAAATTTTCTAATTTAGAGTAGTTCTGTAATCATGTTTCAGGTTATTTATAAATGACCTATTGGCATTTTGGCACACTTGTACTATTGCCCTCCTGGCCTTAAACTTTAGAACAAAAATACTCATAACATTAATTTTTTAAAGGCCTATGATGTAAATCCAAGGACATGAGAGCAACATTTCTTAGTTTTATCTTTCATTTTTAATACTGAATCCATTTTAATGAAAATATATATTCGGCTTCAGTCTCATGCCCACTTTCTGGAGAGTTCAATTACTCTTATTTATGAGTAGCTATGTACAGTATTGCATTACACTGTTAAAGTACTTTTCAGATGATTCAGTAATTAGTTTAGGAAGCATTCTGGAACACAATGAGGATGCTCTTCAATTTCTTCCAAGCTGGAAGACAATTCTGATTGAGGCAGAATGTTTCTTTATGAATTGGAAGGGAAGTTTAGATTAGGCATCCTTCAGTCTCGAGAGACTATGGTAATGTGCTCTGAATGGAGGACTTGGAACAGTGTCTAGTGTGGCTGAGAAGGCCAGTTCGAGAGTAACAATCCCTTCAACTCTGAAGACAAATACAATCTATCCCTTGTCCAGCTTCCTGATTTTGCTGCTTTCAGGACTACCTCTTTGCCTCGGCCTGCTGGACAAGTGTCTCTTCAAAATGGGAGAAGCCATGAAGCACCGCCTGCCTCCAGGCTGAACGCTCAGATGTCAAGTTTTCCCATCTGTTAAGGTCCATTCCTAAGGCCTTCGGATCCCGCTTGCAGATATTCTTGTATCACAACTGTGGTCTCCATCTGAAGTGATTTCCCTGCACTAATTCTCCATACAGGAGATCTTTTGGAGCCTCGTGGTGCAGTGGTTAAATCGCTGTACTGCAGCTAAAACTGTGCTCACGACCTGGGGTTCAAATCCCAGGTAGCCGGCTCAAGGTTGACTCAGCCCTCTATCCTTCCGAGGTCGGTAAAATGAGTACCCAGCTCGCGGGGGGGGGGGGCAATGTGTAACCTGCATAATTAAATTGTAAACCGCCCAGAGAGTGCTTGAAGCACTATGGGGCGGTATATAAGCAGCACGCTTTGCTTTTTTGCTTTTTTGGAATCTGACCATCAGCCATTCTCACGAGATGCCCGAGCCCGAAGTAGAAGTAGAGAGCTGACATAAGCTTAAGTGCCTGGCTATAAAGCTAGGGGCTGGAGTTCAAATCTTCACTCTGAGAGGGGGCAAGTGAGATAATCCAAAGCATGTGTGGCTCATGGGACTATGCAGCCTGTCATCTTTGCTGGCCTTGGGCAAACCACAGGATCCCAGCGTCCCCCCAGAGGGGTGGACTTTCCAGGTGTTGTATACCTGGAAAACCCTGTGGCAGTCACCATGAATTGGAATCTGCTTGAAGGCACAAAATTACTACCTTTGGCAAAATCACATGTTTAAGCTATAATGTAGCCCATCATGTCTCAAATGGTCATTTACTGCTCTGATACTTAAAACAAAAGTACTGCTTTAATATCCCATTATAAAATAGCACATCATTAATTCGCATTTAATATTGGCTTATAATAACAAAATTACAGTTTTTTTCTAAATTCAGTACAGAATATCAGGTGCTTCTTCCCTTTCCAATTCAATCTGTAACTGCTCACTATTATGTCAGTTTTTGTTCAAATTCAATAATCTGACTATAGTTTTGTTAATGAAAATATGTGAAAACCCTTTGTCCGTCATACCATTGTCTTTTCTTCAGTCTTGCAACATACAAGTAAACTTGGCGAATTATTCAGAACACCAGAGAAGAGAGATCTTAATTTGTGTGGTGGACACATTAAAGGGGGAAGGCATTGCTGAAGCAGATCAGTCATGGCTTCCAACATGACTGGCTCTTTGTGGAGGGGAACAGGGGTTCTTCTGACCAGATGTCGTTATTTCTCAGGAGCAAGGGGAAATGTGTCTTCCCTTGTGTTCGTGATCTGAAGATACGGGACTAACTTCAGATCACAAGCAAGAGAGCAGATGGAATTTTTCCATAAAAGACAGAGATCTAAATAATAACCAGCATATCCAGGTAATGTGAGAGTGAAGAGTGGTCTCCTAAGGTGCACAGAAATCTGTATATTCTGAAGGTTTGAGGACAAGGACACGGGAAACCCTGTCAGTGGGCCATCTCACTTTCCCCCAGGGCCCTCTTGATTTCCACATAGTGAGCTCCCTGGTGGACTTGGGAGAGACGCTGCTGGCTAATTATTTTCCAGAGGAATCCAGACAGAATCTCAGCCACCAGGAGGAGAGAACCCACACAGGAAGCCAGGAAGAGGCAGGCAGAGAACCTGTAACTTGAGGAGCAACCCCTACAAGAGGGAAAAAGACCCCAGGGGCCTAGAGAATATAAAGGAGGTACTGGAGGCAGAATGGGGTTGGGAGGGGACGGGGAGGAATGCAGAGAAGAAGACAGGGGAAAGAGGAATGTAAAATGACCAGGCCATGCAGACTGGGGATTTACTCCCTGAGGTGACAGTGGGGAAAAAGGAATGGGAGGAGGAGCTTTTGGGGGGGAATTTTGTTAACCGCCTAGAGAAGGAAGTCTACTATGTAGGACTCCCAGGAGACCCAGAGCCATCCAGGGGCTGGGAGTAAAGAGGATCTTTGGACCAGAGTCTTGCTCCAGCTCTGGGTGCTCAAGGATGGGTTGGATAAGCCCCTTAATTCTTGTCTTCCTCTGTGCCCTTCCTATTGGGTTGAGCAGGAGAGGAGGGAGCTCCCAGAGAACTGACAGCAACACACGATCCTGGTGGAGGAAGCAACAGTGAACCTGTCAAGCTCAGCAAGCAACGATCCAAGGGAGAGCGGGAGCCGGAGACCAATGTTGTCTCAAGTGCAGGCATATAAGCCCTCCATTGGGTGACTCAATTGCGGCAACCCCATTGAGGAGGGCTGTGTGGACAAACACACACACGTGGTGTTAAACAGAGGTACCATAGACTCAGAAATTATAGACTTGGGGCTTGACACCAGGCAATGCCCCAAATAGGTCAGGGACAGCTCCTGCTGACCCCAAAGGGTTCACAGAGGGTCATGGGTTTTGAGGATGTTACACAAGTGCATAACTGATAATGCTCTGAGGAAATGTAAAGAATTTTGAAAAGATGGCAGTGAGTGATACGGATGGCAGTGGTTGACATGGCATTTCATAATGTTTGTAAGAGAGGAAAAATCAGCTTATGATAGGAGCCTTGTGGAGGAGTTGTTAAACTGATACCTTGTTTCCCCGAAAAAAAGACAGGGTCTTATATTAGTTTTTTCCTCCAAAAATACATTAGGGCTTGTTTCAGGGGATGTTTTATGTTATTTTTTTCATGTACAACAATCTACATTTATTCAAATACAGTCAAGGCATTTTTCTTCTGGTTGCTGCACAATGGTGGAGGGCAGGCTTTCACTTAATTGGGGATTATTTTGGGGGTAGAGCTTATATGATAAGCATCTTGAAAAATCATACAAGGGCTTATTTTCAGGTTAGGTCTTATTTTCGGGAAAACAAGGGTATGTTGCAGTCCAGACTCTGTTCATCACCTGAGTTCAATTCCAAAACACCCAGGTATCTGTCTCAAGGTTGACTCTGTGTTCCATTCTTCTGAGGTCGATAAACTGAATACTCAGCTGGGGGGGGAGCAATGTGTATCCTGCATAATTAAATTGTAAACTACCCAGGGAGTGCTTTAAGCACTATAGGGCAGTGCATAAGTAGCACACTTTGTTATAAGTCTGCAATAGATATCACATAATGTCATTTAGCTAACTATTTTTGGGATCCAAGGCTCACAGAAAAGTGCTCCCATGCAGTAGAAAAAATGACAGCACTTGGGGCAGGGATTTTCATCAAATATTGACTAAAGTAAACTTCCTCCTTCTGAGTCATGGTTGACTTCCATGTATTCCCTTTTCTTGTGCGGAAATTGTGGGAGCCACAGAATGGAAAGAGGATGTCATTAATTTTCTCATGATCACTGCCATCAGATGACATTAGTGGCAGGGAAAGACTTTCAGTAAGTAAAGACTTCCCCTTCCATCTTGTATTCCCATGTATCCCATGTAAACAGAGAGATTACATGGGAGTCAATTACCAGAAATTACCCTCTGCCAGTGAGATTATCAACCTTTCACAAGTGTATGTTTTGCAACAGGATTTCAGCCTAGCTTACATTGAATGTGGTTGTTTAACTTGGCATTTAAATTTATGTTACATTATTACATTAAAAGCCTAGCGCACCGTTTAACAATGAATCGTTCTGCTTAACGATGTTTCCCCATAGCGAAGGTTAATCCGGAACGGATTAACTTCGCTATGCGGGGCACCACTGTATGGTGAAAAATCTCATCAGATAGTTTGCTACTACCTTCCTCTTTGCTTTTGTTTTGAGCTTTAGAGAAAAGGATGTAGTTATGAGAATTTCTGAAGATCCGATTCATTACCACCCAAATAAAACCTCTAATCTAATCTCCTTACTTTAACTTGCATTCATTAGATTGGGCTTTGCATATCTTGAAGGAGGAGGAACTTTTTAAAAAAGTATGGTTAATTGGTATTACTGTCACCAGACAATACATTTATTTCCTTCCATACCTGACTAATGTATCACTGGAGAAGCATTAGTCTGAAATTCCAAGTTACATTAAGAACTAGTTAAATCACTCAGTTACATTTGAAAATTTCCAGTTTAATTGATTGAAATGCATTAGTGCCAATTTCTGGGCAGATTTTGAAAGTTTTACAATGAAAGCAAAAAATGTGCAACATGTATTATTTTGCAAATCACAAGAACAGTTTTCAGACATTGAAGATACTTGGTTTTCTAACTATTTTATTCCCCCCCTAAAAAAGAAATAAAGAACCCCTGCTAAATATAGTAAAGAATGGATGCACTTTAATTCCTTTCTATCAGATCTGAAGTAAGAGTTCCTTTGAAGGTTGATCGCAATTTTAACCTTAATCTCCCTTTTTGTTTTTCTTCTCAGCAGTAGCTGCGTCCAGTGATCAGACCCAGATCCCTATAATTGCTGTGTCTGTTACAGTGGGAGTGATTCTCTTGGCTGTTGTTATTGGTTTCCTTCTCAGTGGAAGGTAAGGAGGAAAAGCTCTGTGTTTTGTTCTTTGCAAATCTTCTTTGTTCTCCACTGCCCCCCAACCTTTATTCGGCCAGTTCTCTTTGGAGCACGTTTCTTTTAAAGATAGAAAACACAGAAGCACTTGGGTTCAGTCTCCTGAATTCTGCTTGTCAATGTATGTATGCATGTGGTGGGAAGAGGAGGTTTTCTTTCTTTTTCTTTTTTAGCTCTATGCTGGAAATAATGGCCTCAAAAAGAGAGCCCTGTTTGTGTTTCCTTGGGAAGCTAGTTTCCATATACACAATACTCCCTCATTGCATGGATACAAATTATATGGCCTCTAGGCTATTTGTAGCCCTTGGACTCCATGAACCCTGTCACACCTCCTCTGTTGCCAGAAATAATAGTGGAGAATTATGCTTACAGAGGCCTCCAGATGATGTGATTCCATGTTGAATATCCTCCGTACATACCTCATGTAGCCCCCTAATATTTTGGTCTCTCCCTCCCCCACCCCAAACCAGAAAGAATTTACTGATCCCTGCTGGTTTGGGGTTGATGCTATTTATGGTGGTCCAGGTGGGGAAGGTATCCTCATTTGGATCTCTAGCCACATACCCCTTCGTTATGATGGTTTGAGGAAGTAGACTGGTCCATGAAAGCTCACATTAAACTATAGCAGCTAAGGTGTCACAATGTTTTTGTCCTCTTTATCTTTTGTTTTTGCCTGATAGCTAGCACAGACTAACATGGTTACCTCTTCTAAAACTTCTTTTTTTATCCTTGCGAGTGTTTGTCTGTTGGTTCTGATTGAAGTGATTTGATCACTTCGGTATTTATCTCTCAAAAATATTTAAAAGCCACATCTGTGTAGTAGGTAGGACTGCTTCAAAAAGGCAGGTCATGATCGTTGCAGCTACAGCAATGAAGTCCTATGGCATCTTAAGGTTAATGAATTCATCACATGACTTTCCATGGACTATGCCCCACTTCATCAGATGCCATCCTATCGAAAAATTTCTGTGCTCCTGTCCACTTTTCCTGCTTGGAAGCAGGAAAGGCCATTAGAGGATGGGACGTGTACTCTGATACCTGTCTGAAGTGGGGGTAAAGTTTTTGGGTTGTTTTTAAAAATATTATTAGAAAGAAAAAAAAGCTGAATTGAAACCATAGTTTAACCCTACCTTGTTCCCATAAGTGATATTTTAAACAACCACCGTTTTCTACACTCAGATTTCATAGAGAAAAAGTTTCTGATTTCCTCTTCATAGTTTCAAAAGAAAAGGAGGAGCACGTGAGTCTTAGTCTCATTGATGCCTGTTCTCATAGCAGGAAATCATGGTTTCTCATCTGAACTCTATGATGAAGAAAGCTCTTGCATATTCCTAACTGTTCAGAATTTGAACAGTTCTGCATTGTTCTACAAAGCACTTCAGAATTATATGACTCATACAGGAGCTTTTCTCCACAAATTGCAAAGCCTGGCTGGTGTTTGGAGTGGCTCTTGGCAATCTAAAGTAAAACAAGATGATGATGAAGAAGAAAAAACCCTGCAGCCTTTTCAGCTATCATCCAATTTGGAAATTAAACTGAAAAGGAACTGATTTAAGAGGCAGAAATTATTTTAGTCCTGCTGTGATTGTCTTGGATACGATTTTGAAATAATTTGTGGAGTGTCTCAGCAAGCTGTGACATAAGGGGCAACCCCTCCCCAAAAAATTAGCTGTGACCTTTTCTACAATCTGTTGAGAATTTTTGTAGACATATGTTGATTCCCATCTAATACTCAGAAGACAGCAAGAGTTTTGTGCCCCTAGTTTAAAGATTGTTCCTTGTAATTATTTTTAGTAAGTATCAACATTTGACTGTAGTTTAGCTGGGTTCCATCACAGTCCACAGCAGGGAATTACAGCTCCTTATTCCTCTGTTTTTAGCCCGGCAGGGAAAGGAGAACCTACCAGAAACCCAAGAAAAGCTATGAAAGGTTCTTCCATTTATTGAATCTTGATGGACAGAATGCCTTTGTTCAGGGTACACATTGCATGGCAATAATTTTCTACCACCCACTATTTGATGTTGGTTTTCATTAGGTCAGTAATATGAAGGGAAGCAGTGTCCTGGGGAACAGGGTAATTATTCTTCATTTTTCACCTAAAACTCCCCCAAACCAGTGAGAAAGTACCTCACTGAAGTTGGCAGGTTGTTCACATGACTGAGCACTGCCTGAGTGTACTGAGGTAATTTGCTCTGTAGCATCAAGTCATTTCTGATGTAAGGTGACCCTGATAGGATTTTCAAATTTTTTGAGATGTTGTAGAAGTGGTTTATCACTGTCATCCTATGGGTGAGCTGGGATTTGAACCCAGATCCCCTCAATCCTAGTGTAATGCTCTATCCACTACCCCACACTGACCCTCATAGTAAGTAATAGTAATTTATGATGTTGGTAGTGTAGTACAGTGGTGCCTCGCTTAGCGAGCGCTCCGTTTAGTGATGAAATCGCTTTGCAACGCAGTTTTTGCAATCGCAAAAGCGATCACTTTGCAATGTTCCCTATGGGGGAATTTCGCTTTGCAATAATTGGTTCCCTGCTTCGGGAACCGATCATCGCAAAGCGACAATTTTCGGCAAGCTGATCGGTGGTTTCGAAATGGCAGCCAGGTAAAAAACATGGCTCCCCGCTCTTTTCTGGGATGGATTCCTTGCTGCACAGGCAGCGAAAATGGCCACACTATGGAGGATCTTCGCTGGGCGGTGAGTTTCAAGCCGCTAGGAACGCATTAATCAGGTTTTAATTGATTTCTATGGGCTTTTTAATTTCGCATTATGACGTTTTCGTTCTACAGCGATTTCGCTGGAACGAATTAACGTCGTAATGTGAGGCACCACTGTACTTAAACCAAATTTAGGATTGGTTTCAGTTAAATTCTTCCTACCCTCCAGTTCTGAGTTGAAGTAGAAATTCTATAACTGAAGCAGAATTATATATTTAAAACACTTGGTAAAGGATGAAGATTAGTAGTTGCAGTGTTTAGATGTTCAGTACTTCTTTTATAACAGCTGTTTGGATTCAGTGTAACACTATGAACACCACACAGCCAATGAACTCACTAAAAAGGCAGTCCATCCTAGAGGATGGTTGGGAGGTTAATCCTACGTGACTAAGACTTTTCTGAACTCAAGCCTGTTTAGCACCCTCTCTGATTAAGGCCTGTTTGTCACTTGAACTATCAGACCCTCTCCCACCTGATTGGTTGTAGTTTTCCATGATGTAATTGGCTAAGATGCCATTAGGAGGCAGGGTGATTTACCTGTCCATCAAACTAGGCCACTAGCTCATCCACATGGGATGTCCAAGTGAGGGTTTCTGAGATAGATGTGTCAGGAAAGCAGATGGCTAAGAACGTGCTGTGTGTGTGTGTGTAAACCCCATGAGAATGATGACAGACTTATCTTTTGGCTACTTATTTGTCACAAATTTCTCCTTCCTACAGTGGCTGTATATATTAATTTCTAGAATTCCCCATCTCTATCATTATACAATGTCAGTATAAATGGTGGGGATAGGATTGCAGACTGGTCAGAAGGAAATGAAATACAGTACAGTGATTACAGACACTGATAATTACATTAAATTTTGCTGCTTATATACCACCCATAGTTCTTAAATCACTTTCTGGGCAATTTACAATTTAATTATGCAGGATACACATTGCCCCCCTCCCCAGCTAGCTGGGTATTCAATTTATCAACCTCAGAAAGATGGAAAGCTGAGTCAGCATTGAGCCAGTTACCTAAATCCATTGGGATCAGACTCACGTTATAAGTAGAGTCTTTGATTGCACATTTAACCACTCTACGACAAGGCCCCATAATTGCATTATACTATACTTTCTGAGTCAGTTTGTGCTATCTGAGAAGTAAGGGCAAAATAAACATTGAAAATAGAAATATCTCTCTCTCTCTCTCTCTCTCTCTCTCTCTCTCTCTCT